AGCAGGAACTGAGCTTGTAGGTCTGGCAGGTGACCTGCATCTCCATTAGGGATCTCTTGGACCATCCACTGCTCCTCAGATCCATGGCAATGTGTTTGTTGGGTGGCTCTTAGGTTGGGAAAACAGGTGGAAGGAAGCTGAGCAGAGAACATGGCTGAGGTCCCAAACTCATCAGCATCTTCACATCGAGGGTATTAGTGCACATGGAAACTTATATATATCTGCAGTGGCATCAGAACTGCAACATCAACAACAATGATAATATAACAATAGTGACAATAATAGTAATATTGTAGTAATAATAATACTAGACACAATCCTGAGCCATGTGCTCTGGGCTGGCTCTGCTTGAGCAGAGAATTTGGCCCAGAGGGCCCACTGTGGTCCCTCCCAACCTTCCCCAGTCTCTGACTCTGTGTAATAATGACAGAAAGTGTAAAGTATGTTGAGAGAATCATTAGCAATAAATCCTAAAGCAGCACAAGGCTTTGGTGATTCTGTTGGTTGCAGTGGACAGCGCTCTACAACTTCAGGGACCAACTGCTCTGTAGATCTATGGGCTAAACTAAATTGTTGTTAATGAGCAATTTTGTGTAGAGAATTGTCCTAAATTGCTCCACTGTCTCTGTAATTAACCAGGACCTGAAAGGCCAAGCTCTGCCTCAGCAGCACAAGTTTTAACTCTAGTTCCAAGGGCTGGATATCAGCACCTTAAAGTTAACAAATACCAGCTAGAAATGTATTCATTGACCAACAACATCTTCCCTGTGTGTTTTAATATCTTTTTGCCTTGGATAAGCACTGAGTTACCCAATGAATTGTTCCTGTGCAGCAGCAAATCGTGGAGGAAGAACAAAGTAGCTCAGTGGAATAGATAAATCCAATTTAGGGCTGGTAGTTTATTGAATCTAAATTGTGCCCAGTTGGCCCAGGAGCTATATAAGCAATCCATCTTGTGCTGATAATGGAGGGGCTGGAAATCCACCTGATGTTTGCATTATTAAATTTCAGCCTAATGAGCTCTGCTAATACATATTGAAGACAGTTGTAAGGAGCAGGATGGGAATCAGGATGGGATCATTGGAAAGAAACAGAAGCTGAGCATTTTACATGACTCAAGGGGTATAGCTACAATTACACAGAGCACCACAGTTGCATTGCAATGGAATTTCTATTGTCCCTGGCCTTTGACCAAGGAGGATAAAGCGTCAATGAAGTAAAAATCTTTACAGTTGCTCATGCTTTGGTTTTATTATCTAATTTAATAACAGATTCTTGTACTGATCTTCAGTGGCAGAAAAAAAAAAAAATTTCATTACTACAAATGCTGTCTAAACATGCCTAAAAGTGTGTAAATACCACCAGCTCTGTGTAATGACTTCTGGCCTTTCTTAGCAGGTTCAAGTGTGTCCTTAACTGTTCAAGTTGTGTCCTTTAAGCTGTTTCCATTGACTGCACAAAGGCCCTTCCACCTCCTCTTGAGCTGAACTTGATTTTCATCAATTATTGCTTAATTCAGTAGGAATTTGCACTAAATATTTGCAAACCTGACTAAACTTTTGCCACTGGTGCCACAGTGCTTTTCTCACCCCGGAAGGCCTAGTTCAAATGCTCAATTCCTGTTTATTTTTTGCTTCTTTTCCTTCTGCCTTGGTGATACTTCTGAAAACTTCCTATTTCATCAAGTATAATGTTATTAGAGACTTATTCTCACTTAGTTCCCTCATCAGGCAGTGAGATGGCAATAAAGGGGAATGGCTCCTTGGAGACATTAATGCTTTGGAATAAATGATGTGCTAGAACAGAGATTTAATTAATTTACAGAGTATATTGATAGTCCCTTGTTACTGGGCTGTATATTTTTAATCTTCTCTCACATCTGCGGGAAAGTGTTTGAAAACCTCTGCAGTTGAGCAACTAGTAGATAATTAAGTAATAAGGGAAGAGATTTCTAGCAGGGGAAAAAGATTCTATTTAAAGAGTGTAGTCCTAAAATGACTAAAGTGCTGCTGCTGTGATTTGGAGTGAAACTATGTTCTGCCTAGCAAAGTCCTGAGTAAGAGGTGTTGGACTCCAATTTTTAACACTGTCTGTAGCTCTGCATCCCTGGAAAGGTTGTTTGGTTTCTGGTTTAGCATCAGAATAGCTCTGATGGATTACTCACTATGGCAGCAAAGCTTCCACTTCATACATGCACAGCCTTAGGGTTATTCGAGTTGGTTTGGGAGAGAGTGGGGTGAGGGCAGGTGTGTTTAAACAGAAAAACCCTCTTAAAAGTGTTACTTAACCCAAAATGAATGCAGAGATTCATAGTGAATGAATGCTGAAATAATATTGAACTAATATTACCCTCCATAATCCCATTTCTGCCCTTATCTTAACTGTAGTAAACTCTTGAAAGAATGAGGGACCAAGTTGTGTTCTTTTCCTGCACATGGATTTCAGTGTGGGACCTACAAAGATAAGTCTGGAATTGGGTTTTAAACCCCATGAAATATTGCTTGGCAAGAGGCTGTGACTGCCCCATCCCTGGAGGTGTTCCAGACCAGGCTGGATGAGGCTTGGAGGAACCTGGGCTAGTGGAAGGTGTCCTTGGGGTGAAACAAGATGAGCCTTAAGGTCTTTCCAACCCAAACCAGTCCATTATTCTATTAAATAAATTAACTAATTCTAACATTTGTTTTGTTCTCCTTTTCAGCTAAAGCAGATGAAGCTTTGAAGGCCAAAGAGAGAAGTGAAGAAGAAGCCAAAAGAAGAAAGGAAGAAGGTAATGGATTATTTTCAGTTCAGTAACAAACTAATGCCCAGGAAGTCAGGAATTACTATTTTTAAGGGCCTAAGCTCTGGTGGAGCTGTGATTATCCTACACAGGACAATTGCTGCTCCCAGGGCACACCACCACTTGCTGCTCATCACCTCAAAGGTGATCGATCCCTGGTAGTGTTTAAGAGGTGTCTGGATCTGGCACTGGAGAATATGGTTTAGGGGTTCCAGCAGTGGCAGATTAATGGTTGAACTTGATGATCTTAGAGGTCTCCTCCAACCTTGATGATTCTTTGATTCTATGTTATTGCAGAAGTCAAGGGAAGTGAAGAAGCAGCACAGCCTGAGTATGTTTTGGGAAGGAAGGGGAAGGAGCTCTTGGAATTCTGGCTGCAAAGTGCACCAAACCAGCCAGCTGTGCTCCTTCCCCACTGGGATCCCTGGATTCTGGAGCCAGCCAGCTGTGCTGGGCCTGTGGAAGCCTTTCCACCCACCACCTTTAAAGCTGAACAGGGAGATTCGCCAGAGGAATCCTGATCCAGGGTCCCACAGGGTCTGGGGGTGTCGGAGTGAGGTGTTTGGCTCCCATTGCATCCAATGTGCAGTGTGTGTTTGGCTAAAACCATGTGTGGTTTGTTCCTTCCATCCCATTGTGAGTGGCACATGTGCTAGCAATTGCTCTGCCAACAGGGATTGGGAAGGGTGAGCATGGAAACACAGAGGGAAGAAGAAAGGGGTCGGTTTGTGCCTTGGGGACGATGAGGAGTTACAGAGAAACTTAATCAGCTCCACAAAAACTGCCCTGGGGTGGCTTTGAAGGAGTTGTGAAGATGTTACACTCTGCTCAAATGAGTGGAAAATATTTCCTGAAGTGAAGCTTCTTCACTCCAACTCATCCCTTGGCTGAGGAATTAGCTGCCAGTTAGGAATGAAATGGTTTCTCCTCACTGGAAAATCAAAGCTCTTATTAACCTGTGGTTAAACATTCCACATCCAGGCAGGACATCCAGGGAAATTGCACACTGGGAAATTCCAGTTTTGTGTAGGTTTCTGTCCCATTGGGTTTAAAATTTCAGTTTTGGGGAGGTTTATGTTTCCTATGGGTTTAAATTGCAGGTTTAGATAGGTTTATGTTTTGAACTCTCTTTGAATCCCAGAATCATTGAGGTTGGAAAAGACCTCCAAGATCATCCAGTCCAACCTGTGACCCATCACCACCTTGTCAGCTAGAGCAGTGCCATGAGTGCCATGTCCAGTTGTTAAAATGAAATAAAAGAAAGTAAAAGAAGATGAAACAAAAATAAAAATAAAACAAAATAACATGAAACAAAAATTAAATAAGATAAAATTTAAAAAAACCTTAAAAATAAAATCTTTTGTCATTAAAATAAACCAGAAAAGTCTTTTTTATCTGAAAAAAATTCTAAAGTATGAATCTTCAAAAAATTGGATTTTTCCAATCTTCCCCATTTTATGGGATTAAATGCAACTCTCCCACAGGAAGCTTCAGCCTGTGTGGGCACCAAGGGCATGTTACAGTGCTGTAACCTCTACCTGGGAGCTAGACTAAAACCAATTGCCCAAATCAATCCATCCTTCCCCAGCCTACAGCAAAGGTGTCCCAACTATCAGGTGAGGGAGGTGATTCTCCCCCTCTGCTCTGCTCTTGTGAGCCCCACCTGGAGTACTACACACAGCTCTGGCATCCTCAGCATCAGAAGGACATGGAACTGTTGCAGCAAGTCCAGAGGAGGCCACAAAGCTGAGAAGAGGGTTGGAGCACCTTCCCTGTTGAGAGTTGAGGCTGTTCAGCCTGGAGAAGAGAAGGTTGTGTGTAGACCTCAGAGCAACCAGTCAGGAGCTGAAGGGTCTCAGGGAAGGCGTAGAAGGACTCTTGGTTAGGAACTGCAGTGACAGGACAAGGGGTAACGGATTCAAATCGAAAGAGGGGAAGTTTAGGCTAGATCTTAGGCAGATGTTTTTCCCTGTGAGGGTGGTGAGACTGGCACAGGTTGCCCAGGGAGGCTGTGGCTGCCCCAACCCTGGCAGTGTTCAAAGCCAGGTTGGCTAAAGCCTTGAGCAACCTGTTCTGGTGGGAGGTGTCCCTGCCCAGGGCAGGGGGTTGGGACTGGATGATCTCTAAGCTCCATTCCAACCCCTAAGATTCTATGATTTCCTTGCCAAACCAGAGTGACATTCCACATTGGATGTTCCATGTCAGCTGCTCAGGTGTGAAACCCTTTGCCCTCCCAGGCCAGCTCTGCCCCTTGCTGTGCTTTGCTCTTCACTATGCAGCATTTGCCTATCGTGAATAACAAACTCCACAGACTGAGGCCTTGTGCTGCTTTAAAGGTTTTAATTACCATAGTCCCTGCAGCCACTTGAAGGACACACAGCAAAATGAGCATTTTTCCCTCTTTTTTCAGTGATAAAAAAGCAAAGAAAGGAAGAAAAAGGCTCCTGTGCCTCATTTGAATGTGTCAGTTTGATTACATTTGCACTTCCATTGGAGCTATGCTAATTTGCTGCATGAAATTAGATCTATTAACACAAAGTGTTACTTTTCCAGGAGAGTTTGTAATGGTTGGATGTTCCTACTTTGGTTTTGGTTACTTGGTTTGGGACTGCCTGAAAAATGGCAGCAAAATCTAAAGGGGATTTGACCACAAAACCTGGGTTTCACTCCAGAAAAATTCAAAGCAGCTGAAATAGGTAACAGAATTTGAAATAAAGTGAACTAGAACACATGATGAGTCATGATGGAAAAATTCAACATGTTGGATGGAATCGGGGAGATTTGGAGCTCTTTTCTCTTAGTCTTTATGCATAATCATATTTTTAAGTGTTTGGTTTAAAATCCACTTTGCTGGGGCCTCAAGTCCAGTGCTGTGTGGGGAGGAGCTGGGGGTGCTCCAGCCCTGTGCTGTCCACACTGGGATGCATCAGAAAACAAGGAAAAAGGAGTTTTTCCAGGACAGAACTCAATCCTAAATATGCTTTTTTGGCTGTCACTCACCAGGTGAATCAATGTGAGGACAGTGCTGGCACCAGGGTGGGTGTTATCCTGGAATTTTGCATTCCCCATTCCCAGCCCAGTGTGGAATTGATTAGTTCTGCCTCCCCTGTAAGCACTGCAACATTTTTATATACTCCAGGGAAATAAATTTGGCAGCAAATCAGCATGAGGAGATTTAATTATCACTGCAAGACCTTTCCCTTTTGTGGCTTAGTGATCCCGAAAGTCCATGTGTTTCCCTGGGAGCCACACGGAGCCGAAGCTTCGCGGCCCAATTTGTACCTCCACGCCGGGAGAAGCCAAAGCAATTACTGCTTTATTGATTTTTCATCATGGCAAATTGCAAGTTGATTTTTCCCTGCAAAGGCAGAGGTGATTAAGTGTTTCCCCCTCCCTGGTTTAGTACCAGAGAGCTGTGTGGCAGCATCCAATATCCTGAGGTCAACCTCCACGAGGGAGATGGAATACGGTGTCTCGGCCACGTGTGGAGGAGAGGAATCAGGGGCTACAAATGGGAGAGGATATGTGTGGAGACAGTTTAATTTGTTCCATTTATATGAACAAGTCGTGTGGCACATGCTTGGAAAAGAGCAGTTGGAATAGGCTGGGAAATGAAAGGCCACGTGGGCAGGAGGAGGGAGTGATGCAAAGGAGACAACACAGAATAAACCACAGGGAATAAACCACAGCTCTGGTATCGCATTCCCAGATTTTACTCAGGTTTATGTGCTGCTTTTCTTCAGCAAAGTTAAATGACTCAGGTCTGAAGGATTCCAGAATCCCAGACTGGTTTGAGTTGGAAGGACCTTAAAGCTTATCTCATTTCACCCCCTGCCATGGGCCAAGTTTGCAATTAAGGGATTTCCTAAAAGTTGAATCCTCCAGGCTTTCTTTCTGTTCTCACTTTGCTTCTGTGACCCCATCACTCCAAAGCATGGAATCCGAGACTGATTTGGGTTGGAAGGACCTTAAATGTCATCTCATCCCACCCCCTGCCGTGGGCAGGGACACCTTCCACCAGCCCAGGTTGCTCCAAGTCCCATCCAACCTGACCTGGAACACTTCCAGGGATGGAGCATAAGCAGATGAGTTTGTATCCTTGCAGCAGTCCTGGCAAGGAATGCCACATGTGGATTAACAGGATTTAAATCAGAGCAGGACAATTGTGCGTTCCACAACTTATATGACACATTGCTGTGGCTTAACTGGACTTTTAAAACAATATATTTATGGGTTGAGTTAAATTAGCAGAAATCTGCTAGGCGGTTTTAAAGGATCTTTTCTCCTACCATTTCATATCAAATATGTGAATCTAGTTGAAAATACTTTAAAAAGAAAGATAACTTGCAGGTACTCAGGGAATAATCTTGATCATTTTTGGAAGAGTCTCAAGGGTTTCTCAACTGTCTTCTGCCACTGAACTCAGAACTGCACAGGGACAGCACCAGTGAGGGTCAGCCATGAGAAATGGGAGAGCAAATGAAGTGGTGAAGGCTTATTAATTGATGGAATGAAGTTTATATAAATGTGGTGGGCCCAGGGTGTAATGTTTGACTCCAGATTCTCAGTGCCTCAACCTCTGGATTTGGTTTGACTGAAGTGTTATCAGATCCTTGTCCTGAATTGACCTCATGGAGCCACCAGGACAAGGGAGAATGTCTTCACATGGACAGAGGGCAGGATGGATAAGATAATCTTTAAGGTCTTTCCAACTCAAACCAGTCTGGGATTCCATGATTTGGAGTGATGGGGTCACAGAGACAAAATTAGAACATAAAGAAAGCCTGAAGGACTCAACTTTTAGGAAATGCCTTAATTATAAACTTTGAATGTGTCCCAAATTATAAGCTCTACCTTTTCATACTCATCTTTAACTTGTTGGCCAAGAGTTCATAAACCAGATACTTTATCTCTCAAACCAGTCTGGGATTCCATGATTTGGAGTGATGGGGTCACAGAGACAAAATTAGAACATAAAGAAAGCCTGA